GATCACAGTACATGTGAGAAGATATGTATCATAATCTCTATGAATGGATGAGGTCTTTTTTTTTTTTTTTTAATTTTATTTTAACTTTTCCAAGGCACACATACTATATTTTGAATCTTATAAGGAAGTGCCCCCTTGTGGCAAGACTGGCTATTAAACAAGAAATATAAAGATATAAAAGTATATTTTGAAATTTTATTATATTGAGACTTATTTTTTGAACTGCGATTTGGATACAGTCAAGATTTCAGAAATTAAAAGCAAGTAAATGTTTATTCAGCAGTAAATCCAACTCGATTTTTTTCACTTTTTATGAATGACTTTGGCCACTGTAAGGTCTGATACTCCCTGCTGTTGTAGAACCGTTTAACTTGCTTATAAAACAGCGTATGCTGATGTAGGTATAAAAAAACAAGTCACAGTGAGACAACATTGTGAACCTTAAAGTATAAAAAAGTGAGAAATTTCTTCTTTGTGGGTTTGAAAGATGAGAGGTGATTGGTTGCTTCCATTATACAAAATCAGTTTGTGAAATTCAGCAGTGCTAAATGTAGCATATTCAACTCTGAATGCTGATGTTTTGAAGTAAGAAGCTTCAGAAGTTCTAGCCATTTAGTTCAATTCTATGCTAACTATGCTGTTTGACAAATAGGAGGTTACTAAGAAAATGTGTAGAATCAGCTGGGAACATTCATGAAAAATGTTACTGTGCTTCTGTATTTAATGTCTTCATTTACAGTTGTATAATTTTTGTTTCAATAAGAAAACAGCTGTACATGTGCCATATATTAGCTCAACTATTATCAAGGATTGCTTAGTAAGGTATAAAGTGATATGTAGCTGGGATTTGGAACAATGGCAATATGGTATGTGTAGCTATCTATCAATCACTATCTAGAAATGTAATAGATGTGTGTGGATATGGAGGATGCTAGATGAATGATACTTAATTGATATTGTTCCTCAGGCTAAATTTGGCTCAGGGAACATTATGATATGGTCTATTTTTTGTGTTTATGCCTCCTGGTTTCCAGGAAGAAAATTTTAAATACAGAGACCTATCTTAAAAGTTTTTCACATTTCAAAGTTTCTCATGCTATGATCACATTTTGATATGAAACCATTCCAGTTTAAGCTTTGTTGGGCTGCAATTCATATATGTAGCTTATACTGATAACAAATGATTTTCATATTTCGATGTTACCTCAGAGTTTCTGCTTAAAACATACAGAATGTCTCTAGGATGGAAATGGGTTGTCATTGTGAGTCAGGCTATAATGCCTAAAATTGCTGACTGAACTAATTACTGTTGTTTCTAAGAATGGGAAGACATTCCAATTGCAAAATTTACTGGGTGGCATTCTTAATAGCATAGCTAGTGTCAGCACATTCAAAGGTGTTTCTGCTCCCTACTAATTCCTATTCTACAACTGGGTATGCATATGCATCATAACTCTATCCTAAAAATGTCTGGATATTTCTGCTCACATACTATGTGTATTATATTTATGTACGATTAAAATTGCAACACCAGGAATGAATGATCTGCCAAATGCCAAAATAACATAAAAGAAAGAAGAGGTTGGAATATGCAAATGATTGGTATTTCAGCGCATTTAGACAACGCAGGAGGGAGAAATAACGTCTGAAGCACTGCATAAAAGAAAAGTTGTATACTGGATTTCTCATTCAGAAAATGCTTTGTAAGGTTGCAGTTTGCTCTGAATATTGTGTTATGCCTCAAATAATAAGAAATGCTTACCAGCAAGTGTCAGAATTTGATAGATGCAGGATCGATGCCTATTGAGAGTGTGAATTATCCTTCCATGATATCACCCATCGCACTGGTCAACATCCAACTACCGTCATGCGAATGTGGAATCAGTGGGTTGCTGAGGGTCATACTGAACTAAATGCAGTATCTCAACGTCCTCCCATGACTAACGCCCGAGAGGAGAGACATATTGTGAGGTCAGCCCTGCAAAACTGTACAACCACATCACGGACCATTAGTCAGGAAAGAGGCATGTTTGCAGCATGCCCAATATTCGCTCATAGAGTGTGTCGACGTTTGCAGCAGCGTGGACTATCATCAAGGCCTGCCCTATCTTCGAGTGTAGGTGGTTGCGCTCTATCTTCGAGGCCTGCTAAACGCCATCTTTCAACAAGATAATGCAAGACCACATGCTGCATGTCGTGTTCTGACCTTCCTTGATGCACTGGGTATTTGATTGCTGCCCTGCCCTGCACAGTCTCCAGATCTGTCACCCACTGAAAAAAAAATCTGGTCATGGGTTTTCGAGAGACTGGCCTACCACCCCTCTCCAGCTAATACGGTCAATGAAGTGTTGTATAGACTTGAAGCAGCATGGAATGAGTTGCCCGTTTCTGTCACCCAAGCCCAGTTCGACTTCATGCCTAACCGGGTAAGGGCCATTTTAGCTGCCAGGGCTGGCAGATGTTTCTACTAATTTCACACCCCTGTAAACCCCCAGACTGCTTTCAAATTTGATCATTTTGTCTTCATGCCATACTGTATACGCACAATGAATATCTTTTTTGTAGTTGCTTTCCTTCATGGTGTTGCAATTTTAATGGCCAGCAGTGTATTTTTAAGAATTATAAATTTAATTCTGCCAAAATTAAAAAAGTTAATAAAGTAGGTAGAGTATTTAAAAGTTAAAAGAAGTGTAGTTTTAATTTTAGATATTGTAATACATTGATAGAGTACATCAATGAAAAAGAAAATTTATAGACAAATATTATTATAAAAAACTTTTGTATGCTTTATTCTACTATGTATATACATGATCCAGACAATAGTATAAATTAGTTGCTTTTGAGTATTTGATGCTTAAAATTTTTTTAATGATTGATATTTAAATTAATTTATAAAAATTGACAAATTAGAAATATAGAAAGAAATGTGAATATTTATAATATTAAGTTGTGGTAATGTATAATTAAATTTTCGTTCAAACTTACAACTTTGCTAGTCAAAAAATTAAAACTTAAAAGGAAAATGATTTTGTTTAATCACATTTTATTTTCAAATGGTTAGTCATATATATGTATATATTTGGGGGGAAAGCATAATTTCACCTCAGCCTTTGCTGTAAACATAAAATATTTTGTGGTAGGAATAAAATAATCTCTTTTGTATTAGTTTGTATAATTTTCTATTATTTTGGTCATATTTCTATTGTATTATTTTAGCACTAGCTAAATTTTATATTAATATTCACTATTTTGGATTTAAGCTCATCACTAAATTCAGAATTATGTCTTTAAAAGATAATTTTAAAAACTTATGATTAGAAACAGTGTGGAATTTTCCTACTTAAGACCAAGAAGTCATTTTTAATTCTGACAGAATTATGGTTAAGCTACAGAGAACATCAATTAATATCTGTTATGGTGATACAGGGATTGGATCTAACTGTTGCCAAGTTTGGTGAATTTTGGCTGTTTGTCTCCAAGTTTGGTGAGAAAAATTAGTCACCAAACTTGGAGGTAGGCAGTTAGGAGATATTTCTGAAAATTAGCAAGATAGCCATTTACTCAATGTTAAATAGACTTGTCTCTGCATTCTTACTTTTCTGGCAAGCTTCGCTTCATTAAATTTTCATGTTACATTGTACAAAAGAAATACAACAATTTCACACACTATTGCACTAAATTCATTTATCTATATACAGAATTTGTAACAATATATTATTATAATTATTATTTGACACTCAAAAATCTTTAATCCGGACTCGTCGGGACTTCACCGATTCCGGATTATAGATAATCAGTTTAAATCTGGTAAGATGGCATGCAGAAATTATAAAATTAAATATATGAAATCGTAATTTCTGAAATAAAGAACAAATTATGATCTAAAGGGTATCAAAATTTACAAAAAAAATCTTAATATTAAACATTTCTTTCAACGCGCGCATGTGTAAAACATACATTACCCATAGTCAAAATTAGAAAATTGCAACCAGAAAACTATTTGATGTGTATTCGTGATATTTATAATAAATTTGATTTAAATCATATCAGAGTACATCGAGATGAAATACTACATTTAGTAATGAACTATAAGCCGAATAAAATAAAAACATCTGCCCTGAAGATAAGGATAGTGCTGACAGATCAACTTCCAGTTCATTGCGCGCCGCGATGTTCCCCCCCCACACACACACACAGAGCAGTGTGAAATTGATAAACAGATTTCGGAATGGTTAGAGAAACAAAGGATACGCCTTTATCCATTTTTTGCAACAATTCCACTTTTTGTTTGATGGACATCGAAACATGCTTTCACTTTGTAGATCCTTTGGCAGTATCCAGCATCGAAATTCTATTTGACATAATCGAAAGTTCAAGTTTACTTTTATAAAATTGCTCTAACAGTCTGCAAAAAATAATAAGCCGGATCCAATTCGAAGATTAAGGAACAACGCAATCTGCAACATTAACTGAAATAGATAATTAGATAATTTTAGCTTAGCTTATACCGTCCGTTATACATTAAACGCGCATGCGTAAACATATTATGCACATGCATACATGCATATGCGCATACGTAAAGGTATTACATGCATGTGTAAACGCATATGCACATGCATGAACGCATTATGCGTTGACGCATGCACAGGAAGTTTGTAGCTTTGAGGTCCGGATTAACGACTTTTGACTGTAATGGACATAATAAAAACTTATTCTAGTAGGTGTAATAAAATAATTAATAATGCAAATAAAAAGGAAGTTGTAATTAAATAGAAAAAGATATTGTGACTGCATAGTACTTAGGTAGATTTTTAGTGTTTTAAAAATAAGACATAAAGCTGAAAAAGCTGTATGGCATTGATATCTTGTTAGAAAATATAATCCATACTCAAAATGATAACCAATAGTTTTGAAAAATCTTTAAAAAAATTAATACGGTCTACAATAACTGCTTGATAAAAGTTTAGATTTATCATACTCTTGTACTTTTTATGTTACAGCAAATATTCCAAGTCGTTTTCGTCAGAAAGGTGATTATGTATCCGAAAGTGTTAATCGTGAGGATGCCAATTCATATGGTCAAAAAACATACAACCAAATTTTAGTAGACATCACCACATCATTTACTTTATTGCTTGCTATATTTTTTCCGTCATGCACTGGTAAGTTTGCTTTTTCAAAGATTATGTAAATGTGTACTTGAATATGTGTAAAATTTTTCCACATAATTGATATTTGGTTATTAACATCTTAATATTTGATTATTGATATATGTGACAGTTTCTGCAATTTGTCCTCATTTCCAGGACTTTTTTCTGCTTAATATTTGTGATCCTGTTTTTTGAAACTGTAAATTATTTATCATTCTTACTTTTTAATGAATAAAAATTTAATTATAATTTAGTAAAAACATATTGAATCTATTGTGAAAGTTTAAAATTAGCTTTTCAAAGGTACATGAATAATGAAAATTACATTTCTGGATTACTTATAAAAAATTATAGTTTTCAAAAATATATTAAACTGTTAGTTTAATATTAGTTTGGCTCAGAACTTTGGCAGTGTTTATATCTTGATCTATGGACTTCATCAATGAATTAAAAATTTTGTTAGCCCAGAAAGGCTATTAGTTTAAAAACGTCATTTTGTATCAAATCACTAAAAGCATTCAGTCGCTTTTCAAATTGTTGCAACCAAATATTATCGCCCTATATTGTATTTAAGGAAATTAATAATGAAGAATCAGCACGAGTGTATGTTTCTCGCATCGTGAAAAAACAGTGGTAACCTAGAGCCATTAAATGTTAAATAACATAGTCCTCCACCTGAATATAGGCATCTGGAAGCTGGAATTTTGAATTTGTTTTATTCCCTGTGTCATATTTTGTAAACCTTTAATGAATTTTTTTATTAGAAAACTCAACAATTTCAGCCTGAGCAGGGGCAACACTGTATGGAATAAAACATTTTTATTTCCAGTGCATGAGGCTATCTGTTGGAAATGTTAAAGCTATGCTGATTTTAAATATTTGTAGCCCAAATGCTCTCGAAACATGTATGTATGTGTAAATGAAAAAAAAAAAAAAAAAGCCCCTTTTGGGCTTAATATAAAATCTGAAATTTTCAGATTTTTTTTCCTTCTGTTAGAGTGGTCCTTTGTTGTGAAAATAATATGCTTTTATCTTAATAGGGTGTTGGACAAGTCGAGATTCAATATAATGATGGTTTAGTTTGTTTAATTATGGAAAATCTTTGCAAGGGCTATCTGCTTAGGAGGGATGCCTTTGTGAATGACTTTCCAAGGGAAACTGTCTTGTAGACACACTAAACATTGGGAAAATAACAAAAATACCCTTGCAGTCAGCTTGTTCGCTGGGACTCGGAACTCTGGACTGAACGACCAGTTTGGCAACTTTACCACTCGGGCACTGTTGGGGTCCTGAATATAACGAATAAATGTCCAAAGTATATAGTGTAATAGTAGGTATATAAAACATTCTAAATCCTCTATCTGTTTGGTAAATTTTTTAAGAGCTAACATGAATGACAAACAAAAAGCGTTTTGCTGGGGAGAGACGTATTTCTCTGTGAATCGTTTCTCATTTGAACTTGATGGCTAAATACCTTATACGTCATTTACTGGCATATCAAGACCTTGTTGCTTATTAACTAAATTTTACTTATTTCACTGGTTATGCCCCACCAATAGGCAAGTGGTTAAAATGCTAAATACTGGTAGTTTGAACTGGCTTGGGTTTGATCCCAGACGAACAGTTGCATGGCTGCATAGTTGGTTTTCCCCTTGTGTAATGACAGTATGAACCAGTTCCCTTAGAAACTCCTTTATGAAGCACACCTCCTCTTACACAAATAGCCCTCGTGGCTTTATGATATTCAAATACCCTAACCTCTCCACTAGTGACAGTTATTCCATAGTGAACAAACACTCCCCTAGATTGAATTGCCAAAATTTAGTTTTCACAGCTTGTATGTTTCAATAGATTAATAAGTAGTGATATTCAAAGCATATGCATGTAGAATGAAAACTAAGCAGAAGTGAAAAGTTTTATCATTAGTAAAACTAAATTTTTTTAAGCCTGATATAGGTGTAATTCTTTGATAAATTCTATAATTTATATTATCTTTGACATTTTCCCTCTGGATTTATTAAAATTGTGAATAAATATGATTTTTTCATTTATATATATATATATAACATGCAAAAATACTAGGTATAATTATCTTTTTTAAAAAAATTGTTTTATAATTATATATATTGTTGCGTTTTTCTTCTGACACCAGTTGTTACGTTATTTTCTTCCTTCACGTTCGTACAGGGTTCGGGAGGATTTGGAGTGAATAATGACAATACTACTTGATGAAGTATCAAAAAAAGCATTTTATTGGCCAGTATTGTCAAGACAGCTCCAAAACACGTTTTTACAGTCGTCGATGAACTACTATAAACACGCTGACATGATCAGCGACACAGCCTCCAGGTTATCAGGCTATCACGGTGGAGATAGCTTCATGGCAAAGCACTAGAGTACAGCTCCCGACTCTGCTTGATCATTCTGGGAACTCCACGTACTCTCAAGACTCTCCACGCTACAATTCGCGATGCACTCGACGACACACAGAGTACAGCTCCCGACTCTTCGGTTAATTCGTTCCCGGAGCTCAACACGCTCTCTTGACAATGCACTAACCGTGATACACTACGAGACTCTTTCAGTGCACTCAACGACCTACTCGGCACTCGCTGCCCAACTATCAAACTCGATCGACTCCGCAGGGATTAACTAGCTAGATGAGACACCAACTCGATACTATTTATCTTGTATTCTCAGTGACTGCGGACCAGCAGGGTTTATAGTGGTTGCCAAAATTGTGGACACTTTTGGAAATTTTTATGTTTTTGAACTTTGTTTGCTTATAGAAAATGTTGCATTTTGCAAAATGCAAACTTGTATATATCATTTTAAAGCGAATTTATTACTGAATTCAATACAAAACACAGAATTCAATTATTTGCAATACAAAAAAAGTTGTACTTTAATTAATTTAATTAAAGTATATGTACTTTAATATAAATAAAAAACACAGTTATGAAGTGGTTTGTAATGTGTAGCTTTACTGGCCAATCACTGTTCTTGTTCTGAGAACCAATCAAATGTTAGTAACTGCCAGTAGAAGCTGATATCATGTTTACACTTGAAACAATTCATTATTTTGCTTTGTTCTGTAGAAGGAGGACCTGTTTCTTATACACTGCAATTACAAGTAGGAATTTTTGTAAAATTTTTAATATTTAGTCAAGAAGCAATGACATCAAATAAAAGAGTAGATTGGACATCTAGAAAGAGATGTAATATTATTGTGTTACGAGAAAGTGGTTTTACCTATGCTGAAATTGCAAGACAGGTGGGTGGTTCAGTGACTACATCTGGAGTCCGAAAGTTTTGTTTATGATATCACTAGACAAATTCAATAAAAAACAAAGAAAGAAAAGGCCGAAAAAGGTGCACCACATCTATTGATGACAGAATAATAAAAAGACTATGTCACCAAGATAGAAAAAATGTCATCAGCGGCAATCCGAAGTGATCTGAATGATGCTAGTGTTTCTGTCAGTTCAAGAACAATCGGGAGAAGATTAACAGATGTTAGACTGAGAGGTAGAATTCCACGAAAAAAGCCTTATCTTAATTTTCAGCAACGAAAAAAAAGACTACAGTGGGCAAAGGAACACATTAATTGGACAGATGATCAGTGGTCACAAGTTATATGGAGTGATGAAACTAAGATATCGTTATTCGGTAGTGATGGGCGAAAATATGTAAGACATAGAATAGGAGAAGAGCTACATCCTGACTGCATTCAAGCAACTGTGAAGAACCCAGTTAGTGTTATGATTTGGTCATGCATGTCAGCAGATGGCATTGGTCGCCTTCATGTCATCGATGGGACACTGAATGCCAGAAAATACATTGACACTATTCTAGAACCAAAACTTCTACCTTCCATCAGAGATCTCTTTCCCAACAATGCTTCGTTTATTTTTCAGCAGGATTCTGCTCCTTGCCACATGGCCAAAATTTCAAAAGAGTGGTTTCGTACAAAGAGCATTAAATTGTTGTCATGGCCAGGAAACAGTCCTGACCTCAATCCCATCGAAAATTTGTGGCACCATTTGAAAACTCTTGTCCGAATGAGGCACCCATCCAATAAAAGGGAACTAATTGAGGCTGTAATTGTTTCCTGGCATCATGTAATAATGAAAAAAGAGCTTAAAACTCTTGTCAGCTCAATGAAACATCGATGTGAAGCTGTAATCAAAAATAAAGGGTACCCTACTGAGTACTGATAACTCACTGCAATCATCACTATCTAATGTATATCGATAACTATTATCGTTTAACATTTTTTGTATTTCAAATAATTGAATTTTGTGTTTTGTATTGAATTCAGTAATAAATTCTCTTTAAAATGATATATACAAGTTTGCATTTTGTGAAACGTAACGTTTTCTATAAGCATACAAAGTTCAAAAACATAAAAATTTCCAAAAGTGTCCACAATTTTGGCCACCACTGTATATAGTTTTCGGCTTGTGTTCGAGAACATTCTAGGCTAAACCGGTAAGAATTTGTTCCAGAAGATTCTCTATCCGTCCATGACATATCAACAATTTTGTCACCAAATGTGTGATTTCTCATCAAATGTGCCAACCCTACCTTCCATTTCCATTTTATGGCAACCCTAAAAACTTTGCGGGGGCAGCTATCTTACCGCGCTTGTACATTTTGTAGCAATATAATATATATAATTTATTACCTTCATTGTTCTGCTTATTCTGTAGTGGTAGCAATCTGTAAAATCTTATTTTGTTTTTCTTTTGCCAATAGCAACTTGTGAATATGCCATGGGGATCTCTATCCAATAAAATTCATTGTAATACCATTTTTTATTCTTTGAATTTAAAACATATCACATTTTCTTATTTTAGGAATTTTAGCAGGCTCCAACAGATCTGGTGATTTGGCTGATGCACAGAAATCCATTCCTGCAGGCACATTAGCTGCTCAGCTTACAACTTCCATAATATGTATCCTCTTTTGTATTGACATTATACAGTACAAAGTCTTTAATCCGGACTCATCGGGACTTTGGCAATTCCGGATTAGGGGTTTTTCTGGATTATAGATCATCAATTTAAATCTGGTAAGATGGCATGCAGAAATTATAAAATTAAAAATATGAAACCGTAATTTATGAAATAAAGAGCAGTTTTAATCTAAAGGGTATCAGAATTTACCAAAAAAAAAAAAGCTTAATATTTATTTGTTTACTTTATTAAACATTTCCTTCGATGTAAGTTAAGTTGCTTCGTTTTATGTGCATCAAACAAACTTTTACACACTTAACTTTCTCTTTAAACAAACTTAACTTTCTCTTTAATTCTATAAACAGACATAATTTTCTTGTTCAGTTACAAAGTTCCGCTGTTTAAGTCCTGTAATTGTTGTGCAGAGAAGACCGACTAACTTGTCAAATGAAATTTTTTCGTTTTCACTAACCTCTCTGTCACTTTCTTCATGCTTTTATCCATTTTTTGCAACAATTCCACTTTTTGTTTGATGGACATTGAAACATGGTTTCGCTTTGTGGATCCTTTGGCAGCTCCAGAATCGGAAACTCGTTTTTACATAATCAAAATTTCAAGCGTACTTTTTATAAAATTGCTCTAACAGTCTGCAAAAAATAATAAACTAGATCCAATTAGAAGATTAAGGAACAATGCAATCTGCAACATTAACTGAAATAGATATTTAGCCTAGCCTTTATACCGTCCGTTATACATTAAATGCGCATGCGTAAACGTATTATGCGCATGCATAAACGCATATGTGCATGTGTAAATGCTACGCAAGCTCAGAAAGTTTGTAGCTTTGAGTTCCGGATTAAAGACTTTGTAATGTATTACTGTTTTTTATTGAAAATAATTTTTACTTTTATTCATGTTCTACCTGTATTAGTTGCTACTTTGGTTGAATGTGTAGTTTTGCTTGTTTCAGCTAACTGATTTATAAATTTGTAAATTCAAATAAATAACTTCTGATACTTTGTTTCAATGTGGGAAAAGATTTTTTTATTAAGTGTAGATTAATTTATTTTGTATTATTGTAAAAAAAAAAGAGGAACTACAGTAGAAGTCCAGAAATCCGAGGTTGTGCGGATTTTAGGATTTTGCGGATTTCAGGACAGAAAAGATAGTATTCAGACTAAAACTGCAAAATAAATAAGGCGTATTAGATACATTTAATTAAATTATTATATACATTAATACAATAATTAATTATATGCATTAAATTATTATTACATATATAAACTGATTATATTATATTGTTCATTTACATTAGGCTCCTCTATTTTTAAATCAGCATGACTCTGCTTCCCCCTTTTCTCTCAGGAGTCCTGAGGTACCCCATCCGCTGCCGGAACTACGCGTACAACACAGCATCAAGGTTTGCCGATTTCACCTCATGTAAAGATTTCCGGTTTTGGATTCAGGTGTTAGAATCACTGTTGCTGTAAAATTTCAACAACTTTTCTTTATTGTTTCGTATATCATGCACAGTCCATGTGGCAATTCCATATGATTCTGCTATAAACTGAGCAGTAGCACCTACCTCCATCTTTAGCAGAATTTTCACTTTTTTCATTACCATCAATGCTCTGTGTGTACGTTTTTCAACATTGCAAGTAGTAAAATCACGAGCGCGTTTCTTATCTGTCATTGTATTAAAAAGCGCTGAAATTTAAAATATTCTTAATTTATCCACAAAATAATCCGAGTTAAAAAAAAAAAAAAAAACGACATCACTAAACAATCTCGTGAAATAACAAAGCTCAGAAAGTACAACAACGTGAAGTGTGAACTTGAAAGAATTGAGTTTATCATCTGCTTTTTTACCTCGATGCAGATTGGAGGGGAAAAAACTATTATCATGATGTCAGTAATTTGGTATTTCCATTATGACTCATTATTATTCAGTAATTATGACATCATTATCCAGTAAGTATTACTCTTCGATATTTCGTACTCCATGTTGCGGTTTCCGGAACCTATAAATGTTTATGTTTATATATATAAATGTTTATGTTTATATATATAAATGTTTATATTTTGAGAGGCAATGCGGATTTCCGGTATTTGACTGTATGTACCATTCCGTAACATTTAGTAATAAATACTGGATTACAATAATATGATAGTTATATGTTTAAAACTTTAAGGAATTTTTATGTGCAAAGTATCTCAAAAGTTTATTAGTAGGTATTTAAAATAACTTTCACAAAAAGTTTAAATTTCTTGCACACAAAATTTCACACCTTATGTAATTAATATACACCATGCCCACAAAAGTCCTTACCCAGCCTTTATTTTCTTAACCACTTAATGTAGATATATGCTTCCAATTTCAAAAATGTTTCAAATGCTGCAAATATGCATGTTTTGCCATTTTTATGTTTAAAAAAATTTAAATTGTGAAATCTAACTTTTGATGTGTGTTCTTGGTCCCTATATTTATATTTAGGAAACTTCTATACTCATCATAAGAACAAAAATGCAATAATTAGCAAAGATATTTAACAGCTAAAGATCCTACTCAGGGATCGTACACAAATTGAACAAAATATTTTCATTTGTATGTAACTAATATAAAAAGCCTGAAATATTTTCATCTGTATGTAAGTAAAAATAAAATATCAATTCAGAAAAAAAAAATCTAATTAAGTGAGAAATACTTCTATGCAAATTGTCATGAAAAGTAAGCAATCTTATTTACAGACTTATAAATTTGTGTATTAAGGCTGGGTAAGGACTTCTGTGGATATGATATGTATATAGTATATATATAAGTTATTTTACTATGCACATAATTTTTGGTGCAATAGAAATCTAAATACTTTTGAGTACTGACTTAAAATACTTACTAAATTTTTTTCTAATAATTTATAGTTTTAATTAAATTTCTTTTTCTTGGAGATAATATATGTAAAATCTTTTCTGAAAATAAATTATTTATATATATGTATATAAACAGTAAAATCCCAACTTTCTGCCATTCAAGTAATCAGAATATTTTTTCTGCCAAAACATTTCATAAATGAGAGACCTGTAACAGCATTATAATGCTCATTGTATTCACTATGAATGTGAATACAATGTCACCAAATAATATGATTTAGCACCGATAATGGAGGAGTATGATATCACAACACAATGATGTTTGTTTTGGTTTAACATAAATTTGTTTATTCTTGATAAGTTGGTTTAATTTTTGTAAATATCGATTGACTTCTCTTCTTTCTTCGCATTTTGAAAAAAAAAAAAAAAAATATATTAATACTTGGGATAGCATGAAGTGAAGTGTTTTCAAAGGTACAGAATCCGGATATCAAACAAAGCCACAATATGCAACTTTGAAAATGCATAAACCTTGGCAGTGTAATGTGAAAAATTATAAAAAGCAATTTAAGGTTTTTATATTACTATATCTATAATTTGTATTTCTTTATTATCTATCTAAATAAAGAGCCAACTGTTTGTTTAAACTTCTCCTAAAATGATTGCTGACATCTGCACTAACGTCCATGTTCGATGGAATTTCATAATCAGTTCAGATGTTTTACTTTCATATTTAAGGTCTGCAAAGTATGTTGATTCTAATGACTGAAGAACTTCCCCCCCCCCAAAAAAAAATCTCATATTATTTTAAATGTATGCTCTTAATATTCAAATCAGTATCAAATACAGTGATTGTTTTTATATTTTAGAGCAGGAACATTTTTCATTCATTTAGCTTTTCTAGTGTAATTCCACCTTTTAATGCTTTCAATTATCCATAATTCAGCATTTTCTGAGCTTTTATTGTACCTGTATATGAACAGGATGTGTTCATCACATTCTGTAATGTCTTCATGCTTGAAATCATTAAGCTTCTCTGTAATCCAAAATATTATTTAGAGAAGGAGCGGATATCAAATTGCCCAGGCAGCAAATAGTCAGTCTGATTTTAAGCTGAATATTCTGTTGTTTGGCTACCAGAAGTTAAATTTATTTTAGTCAAATTCTGTGTAAAATAAAGTTAAAATTAAAAAACAGTATTTATTGCAATATACTGAATTCACCAAATGGCACTGAATATAAATAACTGTTAAATAGGAAAATGTAGAATATACTGAAAAAAGGAGATTCAGGAGAAATTGTTTTAATTGTGTATAATTGATAATTATATATTGATGTGTTGTGAAAAATGCTTTGAATTTTTAAATGTATTAACAGATTTGAACCTAGCAGAACTCATCAGAAAATTCTGAATTATTATAGGTAATAAAACTGAGTTGTCCAGTGACTTTTTGTTTAAAATGTTTATATTTTAATAGTATGCAAATATTAAAATTCATCAGCAAGGCATTCAATTTTATTGAATGTCTCTATATCTTATATTTATATGTATCTTAATGAGATACCAGTGAAGTAACATTCTGAATTTTATTACTAAATTTGTATTCAGAATCAATCTCACAAGTGAAACAATTTAAAAGAATTATTCGATATAAGATCTACAAAAGATATGCTGAAAGAAAATGTCAACAAACTTAACTGAGTGATTGAATTGAATGAGCACTTTTCAAAGGCAACCACAAAGAACCCTTCTGTAGTTTCCCCTTTTGTAAGTGACTAGTATTTCTGATAAATTAATACAGGCACTAAGTATCATTGCTGTAAGATGGCCATCATTGCAACAGTATGAAATCAGCTTATACTGTTGGTGGTCTTTTTGGAGAATATTCACGGTATTTTGAATGAAGATTTAAAAATATGTTTTTTGATAAGGATCAGGGTCACCGTGAAGAGGCTAAAAATATTTTACCCGTATGAATGAAGAAAAGTTCCTAGTCATAATTTTCTCAAAAAAAAGGGGAGGAGTCTTCATGAACAAACAGGATTAGTCTCAAAATAAGGAAAATTCTGACCATGTTAATAAGATCCATATATCTTTGATGTTGTTTGTTAAAGTAGCCTGCATTTCAAATACGGGATGTGCAATTAAGTAAATATTTTTTAAGCCAGTTACAGAAAGAGAAACATCATGTGGTTGAAAATTAATACAGCTAATTAACTGAATGTATTGAAAATAGCTGAGTCATAGTGAAGAAAATGTCTTTCTTCACGAGGCAATAGAACGTATAGTGTGAGGCTATTTCCTAAAATAGATATCCACAATGCTTGGGACCAGAGGTTGTGCAGATTTCAGAACAAAAAACATAAATCATAATATTTAGACCAAAAGTGCAAAATAAATAAGAACATATAACAATAAAGAACATTTAAAAATGTTAAGGATATACACAAAGGCATATGAAAGAAAAGAATAAAGCATAAAATATTTTTTCTTTTCTCTCTCCCCATCTCTTTTTCCCACTACATGTTTCGACAAACATTTTTCTGATAGAGGTTTGTTTTAAAACTTTAGGGTGCTGCAGAGTAAGTTTGTTTATATATATATAAATTATCACAATCTCTTGCTTTATGATGCAGTTGTGTCACAGATTATGATATAGCTCTGTTCTAAAAATTTTAGGTATTTTTCACCATGCTCCAAACCTTCATTAAAAGATATTTTCTTACTCCTGTCAAGAATTTACTATCTTTATCTGTGTTGGAATTGTTTTCTTGCTGAGTCAAATTCAAACCAGAGCCAATAATTTCGTCATCAGTCATTTGACATGCCAGTGTTGGCTCATTTGGACACATTATCCATTCAACAGTTTTTTCTTCTTGCAAAGCCGCCTCATTTGTTTGCGTACCAAAGCAATTCTCTTTCTTTAACCTTTGCTGTGCTGACCCTAAAACCAGAAAGTTCACCGTCGTTGCTCTCAGCTTCAGTAAATAACAGCGAAAATGGCCATACATTATGCCAGACATTTGTTAATGTTGTTTGGAAAACATAACTCCACGATTCTGTTGAGAAATAGATGCAATCCTTGATGGTGAAATTTTTCATGAAAGTGAAACAGAATGGTCTCTTGAAAGAATTTTTTTTTAGAAACCCCAGTTTTAATGATATTTAATACTGTGTATTATAGTCCACTGGTATTATGGCTTCCTGGTCCATTATTTCGATCAATGATGTATTTGGGGGCAAAAAAGGACAGTGACATGATCATATGTTAAAATGGTTGCATCTGGATGAGTTGTCTAACAATAGTAAAATCTTGCAGTGTGGTGGTAACACTACAATGTTAAAATGCATCCTAGGCTTTTTAACAAAATGTTCCATGAACCATTCAGTCATAAGTTTTTTCATGAACCAGAAATTTTTATTATTCTTGTAAATCATTTGTAAAGATTTTTTTCCCTTCAGAGCTTTGGGATTGGTGCTTTTACCCACTACCATAGGTTTGCATTTGTAAGTTTGTGCTGCATACTAAAATAGTAATCCTTTCTTTAGCTACTTTCACCCGTGATGGTGCTCTTTCTTCACTTGTCACAAATGTCTTCGGCAAAAATTGCCAATAAAGTCCAAGCTCATCCTTATTAAAAAATTCTGTTTTGGGCTAAGATTTTCTTCTACCACCAGCACACAAAATTCATTAATAAATTTCTTTGCACCATCTTTATCTGCTGAAGTTTTTCCAACATGCTTTCAGATAATGTATAGCATGTCTGCTTAAATCTGTTCAGCCAATTGCTGCTGAAATGACATATGCCCTCTATTTTTAAACCAGCATGAATCCGTTTTCCCTTTTCTCTCAGGAACACACCTGAGAATAGTACCCCATCATTCCACTGCTGCCAGAACTACTCATACAAGACAGCATTACTGCTGATTTCGTCTTGTGCAACGATTTCCGGTTTTGGATTTTGCTGTTAAAATCACTGTTGCATTGAATTTTCATCAGATTTTTTAGAAATTTCAGCACATTTTTCCATATGTCATATGCGGTTCATGTCACAATTCTATACGATTCTGCTATAAACCGAGGAGTAGCAGCTCCCTTCATCTTTCAAAAATTTCCACCTCTTGCATTACCATCATTGCAATGTGTTTACATTTATACTTTTCACCACTGCAAGCAGTAAAATCATGAACATGTTTCTTACCTGCCATTGTATTAAAAATATTTTGTATTTTATCATTATTTTGTATATTGCAAAAAATCCCGATAAAACAACAAAACGGTAGTACTAAGCAATCTCGGGAAATAACAAAGCCTGCATTTCAAATATGGTTGTAATTCAACCATGCGAGTCACAAACTTGAAATGAATGTTTAATGAAGTCATCTGCTTCTGTATCTCGATTAAAGGTGGTAAAACAAAAAATTGGACTGAAAAAAAACTTTTACCAGGACTTCAACGATTTGATAACTATTTCTCTTTTCTTTGGTATTTCGTTATCCATATTATGGTTTCCTGATTCTATAAACTGAATGTTTACATTTTGAGAGGTTGTATGCATTTCAAGTGTGCTGATTTTTGGTATCTGACAGAAGTCCAACACAATTTTGCCTAAAAGTTCTGAATAATTATCCTTAAATTACTTCATACTTTTACCAGTTCTGGAAATGACAAAAATATGTAAACCCCTCTATAAGGAAGGTTTGAAATGTTTTGCTTCTTTCTAAAATTTACAAATTTGGTTTAAAAAGGAATTTTCCCCCTTCTAAATAATAAAAAAATTTGATATTTTAAATCAATGAAATTTTAATAAAAGCCTTAACGTATTAAAAAGGTGATTAAAAGAACAACATTTTTGCCAAGTAATCATAGTATTTGGTTGTCATTAAAATGGTCAGCATTTAGATGGGGTATGCTTAGTGGTAGATATTTGCTGGATATCCCTTGCATCTCAGTTGCCATCTGATTGATTTAGAATTTCCAATGTTTTTGAAAAGCGTTGAGTTCTTCAAGCCACTTAAATTTAGTTTTTGTGTACAATAAATAAGTTTTTTATCTTTTCATATAAGAATGAATATACAAAATATTATGAGCTTGAGAGGTTTTGCATTTTGTTATATTTGTTGGAGTAATTGATTTCTTTTGCATGCCACAAGATAAAATATTTGTCAGAAGATTTAGTGCTGATTTTAAACATTATTATTATTATTGGAATTTGTAGCTTTATTAATAAATTCTGAGGTAGCAAATAATCTTTTAGTGTCTTAAAACTTAAATTGTAAAGATATTTTTTCATTATACTGCAGACAAATTTTATGTATGTGTGTGGGTTATATATAATGAATTCCTATAACTGAGTCCTTTTTGCTGTTACTTGTATTTATTTTAACTTAATTTATGTAGATTTGTCAGGTGTTTTGTTATTTGGAGCAACTTTTAACAATCTTTTCATGCGAGATAAGTAAGTGGTATTGACTTTTTTGCATGTTTAATACTGAAGATGCTATTTAAAAATTTGTGAAATTTCTTCAGAATTTTTATTAACTTGTATTATGCTTTATTTTCCGTTGTCATCTGCAAATAAGTGTACTGAAATGGAACCATAAATCCGAGTGTCATTTGAATGAAAAGCCTTTTCAAAGCTATTTTATGTTACTGTGTTCCATACCTCCCACAACTCTTTATAGACTTCATTTATGAAATTAAATAATTTTTCTGCACTTTTGATTTAAAGAAGAGGAAGAAGCTTCATTGAAATAAAGCTAGTAAAATAAATGAAGTAAAAGGCAACTTCCATGTTTCTGAAACCAAAATCTCCTGCTTGGCAAACATATAGGTGGCACAGACTTATCACAATCTTTCTAATGCTTAATTCATCTGATAAAATTACTGATGTGGGATTTAAGACTATCCTGCAAACTTATAGAACATGAATTGCTTTTCAAGAAATTTAAACATTTTGGAAATCAAGAATGCTCATCACTTTAGAAGGATATTAAACCATTTTGAAAAACTGTTTTCAAAGTTATGAGTGGGTTAGTATTTGAATTATGGACTATGTCATTTTCACTAAAAGCTTACTGAAACATTCTGCGAGTTTTTGCATCTCTAAATTCAAAGAAAATTTAATGCACTGATACTGTTTTATCATACCATGCATTTTCACTACCTTCTTTTTCATTATTCATTTTCAATATAGGGTGTAATTCATGCCAGTTAAATAGTCTGAGTACATGGAGTTTTCATGGTTTTATCATGTAACATAAGTATAAGCATGTTTCTTACAGAAAATCTGTTATAAAAATTTATTTCTCTGAGGCAATAGCCCTGTCATGTTTTGCAATTATTCATGATTAATCTAGCCTAATCCTAAACTGTATTAAATAATCTTAATTTTCCTTTATTATTTAACTCATGTATACTGAACGAAACAGGAGAGGATAGTTTTATGTCTCCCATTTTAATAGGCTGATAGACAAAATTTAGCTTGCATTCTTCATATTTTGAAAATGTGACTTGGAGTTTTCTAGTGCAAAGTCCAGGATTTGAAATCGGGACATGAGTAATTCGAGATTTCGAAAATTTCCGGATTTTAAATCATTAGTTTTAATCTAGTGAGATGGCATGTAGAATTTATAAAATTTAAAGTATGCAGTGGTTGGTTGTGAAATAATGAAGCATTTATGGCTTTGAAGGAATGAATATTTATAAAAAAGCTCAGTGCTATATTTTATTTCATTTAGCATTTCTTTCAACACGAGTTGTTTTAAGCAGTTTTGTTTTATGTGTTAATGCTTTCTCTTTAATTATGAGACATAACTTCTTGCTCAATTAACTTTCTTCACTATCAGTGACAATATTTTCTGGATAAAAAACCATACTGCAGATTTCACTGTCCACTAATTGATTATTGATTGAGGCATTGTCTTGAAGACTTCTGGCTTCTTAGCCTCATTTGCATTTTTTCCTATTTCTTCACACATTCCATTGGTTGGAAAATTTTGCTGTTCTTGCTTCTCTTTTTGCATCTTTTCTGTCAAAGAAACTTGTCACTTTTTCGTGCTTGGCATACTTCCTTAGTGCAGTACATTACCTAATCTGATTTAGCTTCTTTTCTGACAAAATTAGGTTTTTCATACACATACCTTTTTAGGGGGGGGGAGAGGGAATTGATTTTTTAAGATTTGGGATTTGCCAAGAAATGAACAAGTGGCTGCCCTATTTATAGATGCTGGAAGATATGCTGCACAAAGAATGACTATGAATGACGCTAAATTTAAATGTGACTTGAATCCAAAATTGAAGAAAATGTCTTGCAGACTTAAAAATGAAATAGGAACTGTGTATTAGTTGTTTGATCTTTTGCTATGAAAATAACACATCTTTATTAGTGTTGTTTAGCAACTTACTTATTCTGTAACTAGTTTTATTCTAAATGAAGAATTCTATGCTGTCTTCCAGAAAGAATGAGGATAACAGACAAACTGATTAAATATATAATGATAAGTAACTTAGTAAACACATGTTTTATAAATGTGTGGATGTTTATTCCTTATTAATCCAATCATTTTAAATTCTTTTCCCTCTAATATTGTATAAAATGAGGATTTTTTGTTTAAGATTTTAAACTTTTGCCTTATTAAATGTAGAAATTCACCTTTGTTTTGATATTCTTAGATTTGGTGAGAGTATAGGAGGAGGATTAGCAGTTGCAAATTTAGCTTGGCCTCATCCATGGGTAGTAATCATTGGTTCTTTATTGTCAACAGTTGGTGCTGGTCTGCAGTCTCTTACAGGTATAGAGCAGGATTTTCATTTATTATATTGAAAGATTTTAAAAGTGTTAAAAATTTTTAAAAGAATTGTAATCTTATATTGAACTAACTTTTAATATTCTGAAGTGATATTTAAATTTTATGTCGTAAGAAAAGCATTGTAATCAGACAGATGAATGTGCATGCGAGCGAAAATGATTTTGGGAAATATTTTTTGTGGATAAGATTAAATGTCAGTCATATTTAATATATATATGTATACATTATATATTTAGGGAGATTCAAAATTTGAAAACTTATTTGAGCTTTTAAATACAAAACAGACTTATTTTTAAATGTTGTTTCTCACCTCCCTACGAAAAATAATGTGTTTTTCTTTTTAATTCTTCTTTGTACCCTTCAAAAAAGTTTTCTTTGAGATTGCTTCGTAATATTTAATGGCTTTGCTGGTGATAGTTTTGACTCATTAACCCTTTCTGGCACGCTACTCTTTAAAGTTGGAATTTTACCAAAAAAATTTGTAGGCAGTCTATTTAGGCCTAGGAGAGTATGCAGGTATAATTTTACAAAGACTGCACAAACAGTTTCCATTTTGTGGGTGTGTCCGAAGTGAACACACTGAGCCGCACGAGCTGCGATAGGTGAGCATTGCTGTGAAGCATGTATTACAGTAAAATACGTATTACAATAAAATATTTGTCTATGATTTAAAAACAGTAAAATCTGATCTCTGTATGAGATTTAGCATAACCCAGGGTGCACCACGAGGATTCCCGCTGCTCTCCCCTTTCCCAAAACTGGAAACCTGGTGGGAAAAGGAAACTCTCATTGCTGAGGCCTCTCCGAGCCATTTACACAATTTAAAAAATTTTAAGAAAAATAATTAAAATACTATAATATTTACAATTAATTATTGACTAGAAAAAAATAATTATTAAATATATATACAAATAAAAATATACAGAAATCAAAACTAAGCAAACTACGCACGATGAAAGCAAGAGAAAAAAAGGGTCTGCTCTCGCTGAAAATCAAATAGCTAAGAAAAAACAAAGCACCGGGGTCTTCAAAACCCAAAACAGAAAAGAATAAAAACAAATATAAATAAATCTGCGCTCTCAGCCTCTCCCGTGTTACAAGCACGAGACCAGATTCTGTGACTCACTCCCATGTGACAGACGCTACCAGTACAGTGTGTTCAGGCCGAACACACCATACACTAAAGGCTTCACTATATGCAGTATTTCAAAGATTAAAAATTAAAAGTAATGCAGAATAGGCAGATTAGCATACGAACAACAAAATTATATAAAGATTTTTTTTTCATTGATATTCTTTATATTTAAAAAAAAATCTGAAACATTTCTTTAAAAAAATCAGTCTTTAAAAACAGATTATATCTCAACGTTAATGATTTGCTTGTCTGGTGCTGCCATCTATTATTCATAAAGGAGATTAAAAGTAACCATTAGTGTAGTTTTCATCATATTTATCGGTTATTTTCAGTGTCAAAAGAGGGAATATTTTTGGTGTATTCACACCAAACACACTGCGCCGGAAAGGATTAAAGTAGCTTAGAATGAGTTTCAGCCCGTAATGATGTATTGTTCATGTTTTATAGATTTTTGAAGCAAGCACTATAGAAACAAAAATGAATTCTGTGCAATGATAAAACGTTTTTGTTTAAAATAGTAGACAGCTGTCCAGATCAAAATAAAGTTGGATGAAATTGATAGGAATTTGCATCAAGACTGATAATTGTTAATTCTTGGATAAATCATTTTAAATTTACTTGAACATGCATTGAAGATGAAATATATTGTACTTGTCTAGTTGAAGTCACTATGTTTGATAGCATTGTAAAAGTCCATGATATCATTATATGATAGAAAATGCATGAGCTTGCTGATCTGGCTGTCGTCACTGTTAAATGAAAATGATGATTATGTGTTTCAACAAAGTATCTCAGCCAAAATTTGCCCCCCCCCAAATTAAAATAAATATAAAGGTAAAGACCAAAATAAATAAACACAATTTGCAAGAATATTTTGATCAAAACTTGTCACTGATTTGGATAGGGCACACAGAATGAGATGATGATGCATTAATACATTGGCCGTCTCTTTCTTTGGATTTAAATCCTTGTGACTTTCTTGATGGGGTCTGTCTAGGATGCAGTCTTTGTAAAAGTCTTTGTACTTCTGTTCCGTGCTAATCTCTGTTACTTTCTCAACTGTATCAGTAATAATATAGCTTTGAGTGATTTTATGTATTGGTATGTTTATGAGATGAAACAGATACCAATATCTGATACAGTATCATCTGATCTATAATTGATACAATAGACATATAGCTGATGCATTATTATCTGATATAGCTGATTCTATCAGCTTAAGTTATAAGGTATATCTCCCACTTTCCTAGTGTGCCTTCGTGGTATAACGGTAGCATACTGGGCCGGTATTCCAGAGGTCTGTGGTTCGATTCCCGGCGAAGGCGTTTGCTATTTTTAATTTTTTCTGCCTCTAAAAAAAATCCTAATGACTCTACAACGGCGCCGAACTAAAAGGGTTGTGGATGATGATTCTCTGCACCCAGGATTTGGCAACTAGATCCCCTAAAACCCTAGTTGCCCTTTAAAAAGGGGAGTATATAAGGTATTTCTCCCACTTCCCTAGTGTGCCTTCGTGGTGTAATGGTAGCACGCTGGGCCGGTATTCCAGAGGTCCGTGGTTCGATTCCCGGCGAATGCGGTTGTTAATTTTTCATCTTGCCTCTTCCTAAAAAATACCAAATGTCTCTGCAAAGTGACTACATTAAGTATTTGTGAATTGCGTAAAAATGTGGTGAATGTGCCTTTATTTCAGTATAATAAAATTTGGTATCTCTTGCATAGCTTATGTAGTATAATGCATTTTTCAAAATATACCATGGAAATTATGAATAACCCTTTATTATACACGCCTTACTTACTTAATTTCATACATTTCAGCAATCATGAATTATTATAACTTCTTTCTCTTTTTTGTATAAATTATTGGAATAAATTGGATGATTAATTGTTGCATTTCTTCTTTAGGAGCTCCACGACTGCTGCAGGCTATTGCAAAAGATCAAATTATACCATTTTTAAATGCATTTTCATATAGTTCAACACGAAATGAGCCTACTAGAGCTTTGTTCCTTACGCTTTTTATCTGCGAAATTGGTATATTAATTGGAAATCTGGATCACATTGCACCCATTCTAACAATGTAAGATTTTAGTTATATGGTATAATTATTTTGTAGAATAGTTATATAATTTAAGTGAAAAAAAAATTATTTTTCAAGTTCAAGGCCAGAATGTTTTTTTTATATATGAATAAATTTTATCATGTAAATTTCATTTTGATACTGCAATTAGAACCTGTCCTAGTAATGTTTTTGTAAGTTTTATTTGTTAAAAGTGCTTTACAAGTCCTGTCACTTTTGCATTTTTATTACTTCAAATGTCTAAATTCTTATAACTTAAAAGTTTATTGACAAAATGCTTTGAAATCATGCTTGTAGTACAGTTTTTAAGGTAACTTTATTTTAGACTATTACATTATATTAACAGAAATTGTGAAAGATTATTTTTAAAATTATTGAAAGTCTTAAACTTTACTATAAGTATGTAAAAGAAGCATTATTAATTATAGAAAGATCAAAATTAACTCTATGATTGCTTATTCTGTGATTTCCAAGGGCAACGTGAAAGTAAAAAAAAAAATGCTCATTGTTCAATTTTTGTGGATATGCAGTTTTTCCTTTTATTAAAAAGCGCATCCTGCTTTTCTCACGTTTAATCTTCAACAATGCACTTTTTACAATATTTAGACTTTCAGTCCTGCTTTGGTATTATTATCACAAAAATTTTCTAATTTGCATAGAGTTTACTAACTGATTTTGTAAGCTGTTCTGTTGTTTTCATTTTCTTTTTTTTTTTATATTCAGAATATGGCTTGCATGAAATGTTTAGCAAGTAATAAAACGTGTGTCTTATGATATTTTTGATACTGAAGCTGATTTTAGTTATTTTAAAGATGGCAATAGCAAAAAGAGTTTATTTCTGTGACTCAATCTCTAGATAGTGATGACTCTGAAAGTGATTTAGTAAACATTTTGATAAAAATAACTGAGCAGTCAGAGGGTTCATTATGGCATAACATTCTTAAGCCCAAGTTTTAAAATAAGTTGTGCAAATGTTTAGTACTGTAAACTAATTAATTATATCAAGCACAAAATTTATTTGTTTGTTTCTTAAGTTGAAAGTTTTTTTGGGGGGTAGTTTTTTATTATAAATACAAATTTGCAATGTAATGAGAGTATTATAAAAAAGGGAAAAACTTAGTGTGTATAAATCAATTTAGTCTTAAATATTTATTCTCAAGTTTAGATATTCTAATACATAAACAAATTTTACTGCTGTGTGTTTTTATTTGCCATTTTGTTGTAGTTGAATAGCATATTTATGTGGACTGCTATATATAATGTAACTTACTGATTACCCCCCTCCCAAATATATCAATTTTTAATATTTTGTCAGAGACAGTAGAAAATAAAGCAAATTTTCAATATATGCAGTAAGTAAATGTCATTAATTAGAAACTTCTGAAATCGAACCAGAAATTTCCAAAAATACTAATTTCCACATTTAAGAAAAAGATTTGAAAACTGTGAGAAGCAGACTCCTTAAGAAGAAAACGAAAAATATTTTGGAAAAGGAATTTGCTTGTTTATAGGGCCTTCTTTCAGAAGGAAAGTAATTGTAGATTGGTTGTAGAAACTTGTATATTTTGGGGTAATTTTCTCCTTCCCCTGCACTCTTAAAAGTTTTTCAGAACTGAGTTGTACACTAAAGAAGAGATTTTATACCAATCAATTTTCTTTATTAGAATATCATAATATTTTAGTTCTTTCACCTTGAAACTTGTTTTCTTTGATGTAATATTTCCAGTTTTTAAAATCTTATTTTATATTAAAACTTCTTATTTTGCCTTTTGCTTGTTAATTTTTTTATATTGATTGTAATTTTTTGTTATTTATTTTCTGTTAATTTTGGCTTTCGCATGTTTTATTGATACATATTTTTACTATTACTTTTTATTTGCTCTAAGAAGGAAAAAATTATAATTTTAGGTAATTATATAATTAAAATTTTTAAAGCTGAACATTTTAGATGTAAGATATTTTATAGCCTAAGTGTACTCCTAAAGCTTTGTCTTTTTGATCACAATTGAATATTAATTTAATTCAAAACTAAGCCAACATTTTTTTAACTATGCAGGTGAGGGAGGACACACTGTAACTAAAGATTTTTCTGGTGAAAATGCTATGTCTTATTCATTTAGGTAGATTACATTTGCAATTTGTTACTTAAAATATGCAGTTATTATAATTATTGTATTTATTATGGTGTGTAGGCTTAATGCATTTGAGAATGATAAAATGAATACCCTGTAGAAAACTGTTTCAGAGTATCCCATATTCAGTCATCTTGGTGTATTTTAGAAATAGCTTACTAATAATACTGGGTTAATTTTCTTTTTTGGTCCTCCCGAAATACTTATTATGAACTAAAACAAAACTTATGTATATCTCATTTGTTTCTTTCACATTACATATTTTAGTGAGTGAATTAATGTAAGAATATCCTAACATTTAAAGAATTTTAATATTAATTTATTTTCATATTAGTATTTAAATGTTTTAAACCTAATGTTTCAGGTTTTTTCTGATGTGCTATATGTTTGTAAACCTTGCTTGTGCTTTACAAAGCCTTCTTCATACACCTAATTGGCGTCCACGTTTCAAATATTATCATTGGTAAAATAAATTCCTTCACTCAGTTATAAATTAGTTGTTGCTTCTTTAACCTGTTGTTTGCTTTCTGTGTGTTAAAATATTGTATTGTTTGCTGTGTATGTTGTATGTCTTTTTGTTATGTTAAGTTTTTCCTGAAAATAATCAGTTCTTATTTAATTCTTTGAAATTATTTTTGATGCTATATAAGCATGCTATAGAATAAACAAAAAAGATTAAAACTATTTTGTAGTCTGATGATGTTTAATTTGATTGATTATACATGGTATGTCAATAAAGTTCTGTGAATGTGTTTATAAGCAAAAAGTCCATACTTAAATCAGAAAATAAAAGTCTTATATTCCTTCAAAATAATGTTCGCCATTTACAATGCACTTTCGACAATGATTGTGCAATTCTGGAAAACTGCAGACATTCTTTTAGTATCATATGAAGAATCCTAATCACATGGATATTTGTGAATATTCCAAAACCATTTTCCTGGATGATCGAGAACTACATGCCATAAATTGTTTCACAGTGACAACCAAATGTTGCCAAGCATTATCTTGGACAAAAAAACAGGAGTCAGCCATAGAATATTCTGGATGTACACGAGAGATTCTTTGCAATAGATATGCCAGAACAATCTCGTACATGTTAGCATTCATTGTTCCTCTTCTTGGCTAACATAATTTTCACCAATGTTTTCATCACTACAGAAAATTAGAGGGCCATCACTTCAAGCAATATCGTCATTGGAATCCCATCCACACTAAAAGCATTTAAATCATTCATAAACATGCTTTAAAGATATTGGTTCACCTCTATAAACTTGCATTGGCATCTTATGTTCTTTCATAGATTTATTAAGGTAAATTTGTTCGCTGCTCTGTTTTACAGCCACTAGTATGCCTTTGCATGCTTTTGTGTTAGTTATAGAAATTTGTAATGAGTATTCCTAAACTGTGTTCAGACATATATACGCTCAGACACATTGTGGAGTATCTTTCCCATGATTCACCATTGGTTGGTTCACTACTGCATATTTCATCTTATGATGTCATTCACCAAACTTGATTGTCAAAGCATTCAAGGGTTGGTTTTGGAAACAAGATTAATATAACTTCTTCCATTCATTAGCATGTGCATATGCTGTAAGTAAAACTGTATTAGGATTAATGTATAGCTGTTTAAAATTGTGTCATGATAATTTATTAAAGCAGTTTAAAAAAGTAATTCTGTAAAACTTAAGAACTTTAAACGAATAGTGTTAAAAGGAACTCATATTTATTTGTTGCCCTTTAATAAGCTAATTTATAAAAAAACTGTTTATGCATACCATAAGCTATACAAATTTAATATTAATTTATAATATTCTAAGTTTAAAACTTTGATAATAAATTATTAATTCATAAATAAATTTATTAATTAAAATGTACAAATTTTGGCCCTTTATAAATAGTTTACTAAGTTTTGCTGTTAATCATAGAGTAGTCCTGCATCCTTGGGTTATATTAGTGTACTTGAGTAATTACAGTGGAGTTTCATTGATAAATTATGCAAGTACTACTAAATTAGTGTAAAATATACTGTGCATTAGATATATATATTGCATTTTTTTCTCTTGTACATATGGAAGTAAGATATTCAGACATAATAACCAGTATGCAGAAAATGAGCTAGAAATGAAGAAATGCAGTTCTTATACTGTACAGTATAACAATTGTTTAAAGTATAGTAGAAGTAATTGTTCATTTTCCCAGCAATAATAGCAGGCTAATAATTCGAGAGAGTTTGCAGCATTACCTTGATTACGGTAATTAGAATTTAAAAATAAGTCAGGTATGATACCATATTACTAATGAGAATAGGATAGATGCTTTAAATAAGATTACAGGAAAGCTTAAAAAGAGGAATTACAGAATGAGTGCTCTCCAACAGCAGAGACTGCCAACCAACATATCTGACTGTTAGATTAGGGTGTGAGCAGAAGAGTTTGAGTGATTTCCTCTGATCTGAGATTATAACGTAGGGTTTTGTGGTAAGCATTCTCATTCTCCATGTGTAATTCATACAGACCATGTGCAGAGCATATTCAGCATGTTTGAACTGCTGTGTTAATAGATTGTTGACACATTGCTGAGATCTTATAACTTATGAAACTTTTGGCCTTTTGTTTCCCCTGTGGTTGTGAAAAATAGACAATCAGCAGATAAAAGTTCATGACCAATATACTATTTACATGTTACATTTTTATTGAGCAATAATTAGTTCTCGCATATGTTTTAAGTTGAAGCACAGGCAGATGAAAGCCAGTATAAAACATTTTCATTCCATTTAATGTTTAATTACATATTTAAATGTAATTAAATGTCCGTTTATGAGATTGGTATTGTTACTACTTAAATACTACTGCAAATAAGTTTATTTATTAGAGTAATTCTTTTTACAGAAATGAACTGTGTTTCTCAAATTTTCAAGTCAGATATATTAAGAAAATCTACCAGTAGCCAAATTTATGAAACTGCTGAACATTGGTTGTTGACCACAGTTTTGGATGAACATATTGCCTTCATGAGGTTTTTGGGGTTTTACTCTTGTATAGTGTGAATACAAGCCAATTCTTGTATTGTCCAAAAAATTCCATGAATTTCTTTCCTTTCCCTAGCTGGATAACCCTTACATACTTTGCTTTCATTCATTAAGCTAGCTCAGCCATATTTAAAAATATTAATTTCTTTTAATAACTTTAATTTATAATTGTCTGACCATTCCTTTTTATCATGAATGTCTGTAATATTAAGAAAATTGTAAAACTATTATTTATTGTCTTGTATGTTTTCTCAGGTCACTTTCAATGGCAGGTGCAATATTGTGTTTAGTTGTTATGTTTCTGAGTAGCTGGTATTATGCATTAATTGCCATTGCTATAGCTGGATGTGTTTATAAATACATTGAATATTGTGGGTATGTATAATTTTTTTTCAGTTGAATTATAATTTAATTATAAGAACTTTTTCTGAAAGTAAAATTTTCATATTTTATAGGATCATTAAATTAAATTTTAGCTCATAATTTTCATCTATAATACACAACAGTTAATCCACAGTATACAAATATATTAAATGTTATTTTATGCAAAGCGGCAATTCAGTAATTTTAAATGCTTAATTTATTTAATTAATATTTAACATAGTACTTTTTTAGCTATGCAATTCACCACACACTGTTAAAATACAGGTATAGTTTATATAGATCCTTAATGTAGTACAGTAAATTAAATATTATGTAAAATGAATTGTTTGAATTTTAATACAAGAAAGCTGAGTCACTATAAAATGTTTTATTGTAATGTGTTATATAATGGCATATCAGCTTATCATTCACGTGATTTATGCAAGAGTTACACCTGCACAAAATACAAAATCTTTAATTTCTCTTCCAAATGACCTTGCTGATAGCCTGTTCACAAAATGGTGCTGTTTAGCAAAGTATAATAACTTTAATCTGTTGTTTAAATTTTAACCAATCTGTTTTTGTTTTCACAAACTGAGTGATCTGAAAGCAACAAATACATTTCTTGATAATTTAAACCTTTATTTTATTTTTAATACCGTACAAAGTCTTTAATCCGGACTCGTCGGGAATTGTTCAGATTAAAAGATTTTTTTTCTTTTTAATAAATGTCTTATTTGTAATTTTGTAGTAATTTTTTTTAAATAATAATAATTAATCATCTAAGCTAACAATTTAATATATCTGTGTTTGCCTAAATACCATTTGTTATTGTAATTCAACTTTTAATCTTTTTAAATCTTAGAGTAAATAACTTTTAATGTTATTCATTTCATGTGATGCAACTTCTTCATTCTAAATTTATTCATTATTAGATAGTAATAACAAATTTCTGGCAATTTTTTTTTGGTATACTCATGAAACTAATTCTATCAATATGCTGATATACTGTAACAAAGTTTAGTACACATATTTTTTATTTATATAAAATTCTCAAATTTATTTTTAAATAGATTTAGTAGAAACATATTGGTATTTCTGACATTAATTTTAAATAAATTTATCGCCTTCCATTTCAAAAGGACCCACCAGCGGCCAAGCGGTAAAGTCGCTGAACACTGGTAGTTGAGTCCGAGGCTCAAATCCCGCAAATGGGCTGGCTGCATGGACGTTTTCGTGGTTTTCCCCATGTGTAACGTGTATACGAGCCAGTTTCCCTTAGAAAGTCCTCCCCTTAGGCAGATAGCCCTGCTTTGCCGTAACTTCATAATCGTATTCAACCCATTTCATCAGTATTTGGTCAGAGCCTTTATCAGTCTTTAGAGGCTAGACATTTTGAAGGCATGAGACGAAAGGAAAGACTGGTTTTATCAAGAGAGAAAAACGTCTTTAGATTATATCCATATACGTCACTGGATAAATTTCTGAATCTTCAAATAATTCGACTGAGAAATTGTGGGATGCTCCGTTTATGATATGATGTGATGTTCTATGAAGTAATTTAAATTTATACAACCATACAGTCAAATTACAGTCGCTCATCACTTTAATATGCAATGATGTGCCTTTTCCGTTAGCACAAACTCCGTTGATGCTTTTGCTGGTTTACACGTCCAAGTATTTTCTCTTTGAACACCCAACTAATTTGAAGTAGATTCCTCTTTAAATTTTTGTTTTTCACTCCTAATTTTTTTCTTTCCATCTACATTTGTTTTCAGTGCTGACACAAGCAAATTTAGATTTTTTGTTTGTTAAAACGTATCCCAAATTTTCGATTGTTAAAAAAAAGGATACACAAATAATGAAATAAATTTTAAAATTAGGAATCTTTCATAAGCTATGATCATCAATGGAAACTTAAGGGACTGGTATCAGCTAATTAAAAATCATAGTATAACACCAGAAAGAAATTTTAATATTAAAAAAAAATTAAAAGCAAATAATATAGTGATCTATAAAGTTTAAAATCTATATAATCTGATTTTAAAATTAAAATTCTGAGTTAATGTATGAAATTGTTTAAATTAACTTTCTAAATAAAATCTACTAGTTTAAGATTTACAATAAACCTGTTGCCAAAAGAGCTATGAATATTTTTTCTCAGATAAAAAAATATATAGAATCATCCAAATTGCCAAAGACTATGTCATTTGAAAGACTGAGAAAAGCCATTTAAGATAAGCTTCTTTTGGCAAAAATCTTTTATTTCTGTTGCAGTAGTTCTACATCTATTTCTAAATCATTTCAGACAACTGATGTTGTGTGCTCTTTTCTGTACACATTTTTCCAAAGTATGCCAAGTCAGCTTCTATCAAAATTTGCCAAAAGAGATTTACTGCGAAGGGCAAAAACTACTCAAAAATTGATAGATATATGTGGGTATTGCTGCTGGTGCTAGTTTTGCTGCAAGTGGGAGTGTCTGAGGTATAAAGAAAAAAGAATTCGGTTCTGAACCTTTTTGTTTGCATCAAAAATAGTTGAAGGAAGCCCATTTAAGTATAGCTTGGTCAAATACATTTCTTCATTAGATACCGAGTTCATTACATCTAATGAATTTTTATGTAAGAAAAAAGGATGGAGAGGTTATTGGATATACTGTATGAAAGCAAATTGATAAATTGCTGCAGGTAAATATACAGTTCAGTTTAAATAATTGTTATTCATAAGTAAGGGTGTTTGGAAAGACACTTTTGTTAACTATGCTGCAATGCTACTTGATCACTTTTATAATGTTTTGATTAATAATTCAGATTGTGAAAAACTTTGGAGTGTTGTAAAACTGGTTCTAATTTTATTTAATGGCAGTGCCACAGTAGAAATTGGTTTCTGAGTTGGTAATGATATTATGGTGGAAATCTTCAGGAAAATTATTTAACAGCAATGAAAACTGTTTATGATGCCTTAAAAGTAAATGGAGTTGTAATGAATATTGATATAACTCCTGTTATGTTACAATATACCTGATCTGCTTGTGATGTATATCATCAAGCACTCAAAAACAAGAAGCTGTGTGATAGTGAAGATTTAAAAAAAAAAAAAAAAAAAAAAAATTTACTGGACAAAAGGGAAAACACAAGCACAAATTCAAATTTTGGAGAGAATGGAAATTAGCAGATATGTATCTTCCATTGACTCGCAAATTGCAGACTTAAAAACAATACAATCTAGTTTTGTGCTAATTTTTAAGCATTTTGCCCTATTAATATTTTGTTTAGTTACTCTGTCTTTCTTTCGTAGTCGTCTTCTCTTTTTTTGGGGGGGAGGTTGGTGGTGGTGGTGGTGGTGGTGTTGTTGTGTGTCTGTCCGTCCTCAGATCTAGTTAAAAAAAATTACATTTACTTTGTATTATACGTATGTGTGTATATTAAAAGTTTTTCGTCAAAGTCTGTTGTCTTCTTTTAAAAAAAGAAAAACTGCTTTTTTTACCTTTTTGAGTTTACCAACTGTTGTACTATTGCAGTGGTAATTGGTTGGCAGTTATGTTTTATTTAGTAGGATAGATGTAACTGCTCTCCCATTGCCATTTTGTGAATGATAACTTACATACTAGAATATATTTGTAGTACTTTTTAAAACAACAGAGCTGTCATCCGTGACATAACATTTTATTACAGTTAATGATGAAAAAAATCTTGCATTTAAATGTTTTTACATGGCATAAAAAATCAATGAATTTGATTTCTTTTGTTTATTACTTAGGTGGAATGATTTGTATTTAATTTCTTTTGAAAATGTATAGTTTTATGCATGTAAAATTAATTTTTAAGTTATACTTTTAACTAATTAACACATCGTTTAATAAGCCTCGAGACTAACTGACAAATAACGTTAGTAATATCAACTTGACTTCGTTGTTTGAAAAAACTAACCTTCAAATAACACGTGTCTGAGTTTCATGGCATTCGGACCAAAAACAGTGAAGCTGCTGTAGTGAAAGTGACACTACTTGTGCATTTGTGGACAAAATGGAGAAAAACTAATTTCAAGTGTTGATCAAACATTGCAATTTAATGGATAAAAATACTGTTCAAGCTCAGCAATGGCTTAAAAAATGTTATCCAGACTGTGCTCCATTGAAAACAACCATTTTCCTTTGGTACGCTAACTTCAAGTGCAGTCGTACAAATGATGCAGCACACTCGGGTAGGCCAAATGAAGCAGTCACTCCGAAAAATTTGAAACAAGAGTTGAAAATCATGAATAACCGCAAAGTGAAAGTTAATGAGATTGCTGAGATGGTAAACATATCAACTGGAAGTGCGTGTGCGATTTTACATGAAAAGTTGGGCATGGTAAAAGTGTTTTCTGAATGGATGCCACATGTGCTCACAATGGAACAAAAGCAACAACAAGTTGACGATTCACAGAGCTGTTTGTCACTGTTTACTTGCAATAAACAGAATTTCTTGCATCGGTATGTGACAATGGACGAAACATGGATCCACTATTTCACTACGGAGTTGAAGTGGCAGTCAGCTGAGTGGTGTGCAGCTGGTGAAAGCCATCTGAAGCGTTTAAAAATGCAACAGTCACTTGTCAAAGTCATGGTGGAAGTGTTTTGGAATGTGCAATAATTTACATCAACTACCTTGAAAAGGGAAAATCTATCAATAGCGCCTATTACAGTGAGTTATTGGTGCATCTGAAGGATGAAATCGCAAAAAAAAAAAAAAAAAAAAGACCGTACATGAACAAGAAAAAAATCATCTTCCATCAAGACAATGCCCCGTGTCACAAGTCAATGCAAACACTGGTTACATTGAACAAGTTCGGCTTCACTCTGTTTCCCCACCCACCATACTGTTCAGATGTAGCCCCCAGCGGCTATGAAATTTGTGAAATGGATGTTGTTTTCTTAGTTAGTCCCAGGACTTATTGAATGATGTGTTATATTTATGTTGATATTTTATTATAAATGTATTTCAGTGTCAGTGACTGCATGCATTTCAGAT